GCAAGCGGAAAAAAACAGGGTATCTACCGAACAAACACTTAATAATATCTCACTCACTCTGCTTAGGCACATGACATACGCAAATAACAAGGCGGAGAAAAACTTTCATAATAAAATTTAGTGGCTGAAACATTTTTGGTTTAATTAATTTGTAGTCATTAACTGGAGCCGCCTACAAATGCGTGGCGACAAGCCCAAAGACGCCTGCTGTGTGTTGTCGTTTTATTAGGAGGTGTCAATACATGCACACATCAAGAGGCAGAGCACCATGAGAGAGAGAGAGAGAGAGGAAGGGTAAGAGTATGTATTACATGCGCTGCGGTGCACCAAAATGTGTGCCACATGTGATGCTAAACAGCACACGCAAGTCTGTGTATAGGCATGTGTGTGTGTGTATGAAGATATATTACATTTTGCGGCCAACGCATCTGTGGTGGTGCGCATGTGTGTGTGTGCAGCTGACAAGCATTTGTACTTGTGGCTTTCGACTGTTTGGCCAAAACGCTGAGACATAAGTTGAATTATAGCATTTGCCACTTGCTAGTGCAGAAGCCGCTGCAACAGCAGCTTCAGCTCCGGCTGCTGCTTCATCTACAACTACAGCTGCAGCTGCCTAATGAACTTGTTATGCGCAACGCAGCTGATACCCTACAGAATTTGGGTCAACAATGCTGTAAATTATGGCTTAAATCGAATTTGGGGCGTGTCGTGCAAGCAAAAGCGCTTAGACCATGTTATTTTTGGCTAAATCTCGTAAAAATGAGCAACAGGCCGGGCCCAGCAGGCAGCTACGCTCTCTCAGTTAGCCAATGTATTGATTTTTATGTGCGTCGTCTGACAATTTGTCAGCTTTTGTTAAATTCCTGTTGCCTACTTTAAGGTGCAGCCCGCACCATGTGTGTGTTTGTGTGTGGGCACATCAGCAAATACCTGACTCAAGATTATTTGTCGTTTCTTGTTGTTGTTGATTTTGATGTGGGCTGTGTGTGTAAGCATTTTGCTTTGGCTTCAGCTTTGCCTTCAAATTGTTTTTCCGCACATCAACTTTATTATGCCTGAATAATTGATGCTGCGGTGTACGGCTGAGGCTAAGGATGAGGCTGATGCCAAGGCTCTGCTTGACAGAGTTCCATCAATTCAATTGCTGATGAATTTATGTTAGAGCAGCTCTGGCTGCCCGACTGGATAGATGATTGCCTGAAAAAATTGCTGCTTAATTGCGAGGCCAAAGTCTGGCTGATTGCCTGGTTGGGTAAATTAGCCAGCCAGTCACAGTTAGTCTGCCCACATACTTACCTGGCGCCGAAGTTTGTTGGCAAAAGTTGATGTTTTTTTATTTTTTTTCGGGCGAGTCCGCTTTGTAAAGTGGGCAGCGCTAAATGCCCCAAATTCTTTAAGTTCACAAGCAAAACATTTGTGCGCAGTTTTCATTTTCTTGGTTCCTTGTTCTTTGGGGCTTGCGTGCGTGCCCGAAATGAGGGCCGAAGCGCGCTGTGGCAAGTTGTTGTTGTTTTTCTTGTGTATTTTTACACCCTTTTTCGGCAGCTTTTTCGTATTTTTTTTTTTTATATATTTTCCGCTTTTTCTATTTACGCAACGGCCGCAAGTTTGGCCTGGCATTTGGTTTGCCGGCCATAGCCAGCGGGCAGGCGGGGCAGCTCCTGCTAATATTCGCCATTAAACTTTTGCTTGTTTTTCTTTAATTAACAACACAAACATCTGATATGCTACTTTCTACTTTGCTTTCGCTATTCGCCTTTATTTTTATTTTGGTTTTTTCCCCCTTTCTTTTCTTTTTTGTTGCTTACTTTAGCCATTGCATACCTTTATTAAGTTTCGTGTTATTTTTACTCCTTTTGCGGGTCCCGGCAAAAACTTTGGTGCTTAAAATTTGTACTTGCCGCTTCCTTTATGCTGAGCTGTCCCAAGCAAAGGGTTGGAACAAGCTAACCCGCTCCGCCTCTATTTACATAACGCCCGCGCCCACAAAAACCACCTTAAAATGATGGCGCTTTGTCTTTGATTTGAATGCATTAATTGTTTAAATGGCTGCGGTTTGCTCGGCTTCGATAAGGTCTTTGCACTCGGCTCAAAGAGCCGCTGCTAAATCTTTAATGCATTTCAAACAGGTTTAACCTTTAAGTGTTCATAATAGAAAATTACTATTGATATAATTGGCAAATGGTAAATGATTTAAAAAGGCGTTAAAGCATACAAATTTTAAATATGTGTTATAATTTATAGATAATAAAAACATATATATTGAAGTGAATTAAATGAAATTGGTTATTGAGCTAAAAATTGAAGCAAAGTTTACTTTTAAGGGCATGCAAATTAATTACACCTGCATATTTTCGTTAACTTCATTAAAATATTAAGCGACATTAAAAATATTTATCAGCTTAACAAAAATTAGTTCTGCGAAATGTAATAAAGTCAGTTGAGCATGCAGAACAGACAAGTTCTTAGAAATAGCTATCAGCTCAGGTCTTGTGTGCTTATACCTTGTTATTAGTGATTGGAAATAATTAACAAATAAATGAACTCGCCTCTGTCAGCTTAAAGTCTTAAAGCTCACAAAAGAACAGCTCAAAAAGAAAATTTTTATATTTATATTATATTAAAATTTAATAAATTAAATATAAAAATATTTATATTAAAATATATATATACAAATTTAATTTAATAAATGGTTTTTATTATATTTAAATATAATAAATTAATATATATAAATATAATAATATAAATATAATTTTAATTAATATATATAAATATAATTTATTAGCATTTAATATTTTGTATATATATTTTACAATTTATATTTACATATTTTATATACATACATATATATATATATTCGCCAGTTGCCATCAGCACTTAGTCTTTCTTGGGTGTAACACACAAGTCTTTACTCCACGAGCTACACTTGAAGACTGACTCTGGCTAGCCGCAATTCGAGTGATCTTGAGTATATCAATACACATACACTCACCCCACTTAACAAAATCAGTACAGCCGTTACTCAGTCTACGCTTCTCTCACTTTAAAGAGAGTGAGACACAGAACGACTAAGGAAACGACTCGCTCTACCTTGTTCGAAACGAAAGGTAATAGAACAGAATTTTAGAGAACAGAACTAGCAAGGCAATTATTTTGTCATGAAGAGAATCAATAATTTTTATATACAATACATTTTTTAATTTTCATATTATATAAACAATGTAATATAATCGAGAATTTTGTATAAATATTTTAATATAAATTTAATATTAAAATCAATTTTAATGTTTTTTTTATATTTAAAAAATTTAAGTAAATAATTTTGTATACACTTTTAAATATATTTTCAATATTAAAAACTATTTTTTATTTACAGCAACAGAAGTCAACCCAAACGCCAACCTGAATTTGTGGCCATCAAAATGAAGAGCGTGCAACGTGCAATTAAAGCGCATTAATTTAGCGCCACAGTTGGCAAACAAAGGGCGTTGCATACAAATGGGAATATGAATGCAGTTATAGTTCATAATTTGAATTAAATATTTTGCAACATATTTTGTTATTGCGCGCGGCGCCAACAACGTGCCCCAAAGCGTCGAAAACACAGCTGCAAGCGAAAATAACAGCAATTATGGTAGGTGGCAAGGGCAGGGGGCAGGGGGCAGGGGACAGGGCGATGCTGTTGGATGGTCAGCGGAAAAAGTCGTGTGTGGCACAAAACATGCCACAACTGTCATAATGCCACACGAGTGTTAACATAAAAATTAAAAACTTTTGGCGCACAACTTTTTATTTACTGCATTGCAAATGAACTAAGCGACAAAGCAGCTGCAGCATCAGCAGCAGCTGCAGTCATTCGACGGGCAGCAAACTTTTGCTGCGCACTGTAAGCGGATGCATGGGTAGGTGGCGGGCTGAGAGTGTTTATTGTGTGGGTAAATTAAAGCGGATTACTTAATGCGAGCTGCATTTTTGATGCACCTCTGTGTAATTCTCATGTTTGATTTAGCCACATGACTTTTAATTATTCAGCAGTCAAATGTGGGCCACACACGCACACATACCATACGCACACACACAGGCGTTGAGTGGCTTATTGGGCAGCAAATCTGGCTGGGCATAAGCCCACTTTAAGTCTATAAAAACACCACTTGAAAACTAATTAAACACTAATAGCAAACAACAAAAAGCTGCGCAAAGGCAGTTCAAGTGGCGGAAATGCCAGCCAACCAGCCAGTCAGACGGACGGACAGCAGCAGCAGCAGCCTGCAATTAAACCAAACAAAACAAAAGTACAAAAAAAAGGACGGAAAATAGAAAGAAAAGCTGCGCAAAACTTTTTAATTTCGCTTGAGCTAAGGGCTGAGGAAACACAGGCTGCTGGGCGCGAATGAGTCTATAAGTTGAAGTCGATGGCGAGGCAACGTCTTGCCAAGGAAATAAAACAATGATGGCCAAACAAAAGCAATACGAGTTCAGCACGAGTATCGGGTGCCAAATGGCCAAATGGCGAAAGGATAACAGACGGCGGAAGTGAAACGAAATGGCAAATCAATGCCTGCGACAGCAGACGTGGGTGCCCAACAAAAGCAAATCCGCTTAAAGTCAAAATTATTCCTTAACCAAAAAAAAAGAGAAAAAAAAATAAGAAAAGAAATAAAGACAGGCAAAGGAACCCTTGTGCATGTGTACAAAAATGGCTAAGCGGCCAACTGTGCTGGCCAAGTTCTGGCCGAAAACGCGGCTGTTTAAGCCCTAAGCTGTTGACTTATTTACCAGGCTTCGATTTGCTTTGGCCGCCCATTGTTGTGCCAAGATTTGTTTGCACGGCTTAGCTGCTCAACAATTTTCGCTTAGCCAGATTGCGTGAAATAGATAAGAGCGAATCGGGCCTCTGGCTAACAATGCACACTTCCAAGTAGATAAATTAAGAAACACATTTCTCGGCACTCACTTAAACTTGAAGTAACAATATCAAATGTGGGTAGGAGGAGACTTACCTTTGTGATGCCGCAGGTGATGGCCAACAGCTGCTGCGGCGCCCGTGCAGCACGGCGGCTCGTAATATAAATTCCAAGTGTTCTCATAATCCGCCCGAGCGTAATCCACATAAATTATTTGAGCGGCTAGCGCGAGCAGCCAAGCCAACTTGGCCATGGAGCACATGGCGCTGGCTGTTCCTGGTCGTCGCTATGAACTAAAACGTAGGCTCTGCTCACACAGAGATGCGCGCACTCACGCACACACACACACACACACGGAGACGTGTGTGTGGATCAGACGCAGCTGTTATTTGACTCAACAACTAAAACGATGCAAATGTGTCGAGCGCGTGTGCTTGAGCACGTTGTTTACCATTGAGCCAGAGCGCATCGACTGATCGACTGTTCGAACTGTTCGACTGTTCGACTGTTCTCACATGTTCGCCGCGATAAGCGCGAATACTCGGATCAAGCACAGTTCGCTACAAAAGCGAGCGTGTTCTGTGTGTATGAGTGTGAGTGGATGTGTGTATGGGTGAAGGACGAACGCACGGCACGAGCTACAAATACGAACTGAGTGGCCAAAGCCCGAGTAACTGTGTTAAATAAACACACACCACGACGACGACGATGACGACGAGTCGGCACGAACTGACTCGACTCGGCTCAAATGTTCGGCTACGCCAGACACCTGTGCTGTAAAGAGAGAGAGAGCGAATTAGTAAGTGAGCAAGTGCGCATGCGCGTGTCGTAAAATATCCCTGTATATTTCCCAGTTTTGTTTATGTTTACGAGCCTTGTGCCAAGTGTATTGAACTCATTTAGAGCAGCGTTCAGCATGCAACGAGCAACGTGCAACGTGCAACGCTATGCATTCAACAACAATAACAACACCAAATGCAATCCACACACATTTTCAAGGGTAACTGCAGACACATTCAAACTGAAGTGCGGCTGCTGCTGCTGACACCCCCGCAGCTGCATTTGCTTTAAAGCAGCAGCGAGACGAGACTATTACCAGTTGAGCAGACAGGCTGGGAGTTTGTGGACTGGCAGACAGGAACCGTTAGCCAGACTCGAACTTCCAGCCCAAACCGAAGCCAGCCAGACACAGTTGCACTTAAAGCATTTTCGTGCATTATTATTTATGCATATGCTTGTAATTGCAGTAGAAATACTTTTCTTCTGCCTATGTGTGTGGGTGTGTGTGTGTGTGCCCAGACTCTAGCTAAACGTTTATTTTTTTTCCACATTTTCTTTCTTTGCATTGTGGCTTCGCGTGCTGCCTTGTAAAAATTTCAGCACATTTTCAATGCTGCATTTGTGTAGGCTGCAAAAAAGTTCTCTTAAGGCCAGACATAAGTCACTCAGACAGTCACGCAGACGGCCCAAGCTGCAGGGCAGACACTCAAAGACAATTAGACGCTAGCCAACAGTAGCTCCTGCTCTCTCTGCCTGTGTTTCTGTGTGTGTGTGTACACTTGAAAAAAGCTTCAAAAGTATGAGTTCGAACTTGCTTTATTCTAAAAGTATGCGCAAAGAAATTTTAGTTATAGAAACTGAGTCGATGACGATAATTGCTGCATAGTTAATAAACTCAATAAAGAAGTGAAAAATAACTTGTTTAATTTGATTTATTACAAATGTATTTAAATTGGCTTTTTTCATTTTTAATGTTGAAAACTTCCACAACTTTTGATAGTAATAAATTAATTTTAATAGACCGTACTTAAAGTTTTGTAAAAGTTTCTTTTTTGTATTTGTTGAAATATTATTTAATTAATACGAAAAAAGAACTTACATTAAGAAATATTCATATATTTATACATTTTATACTTTGTTTCATTTAAATATTTTTTTATTTATGTGTATTGCAACCATTATTTTATGAGATTAAAGAAATTATTATTAAAGAAATATTGCCTCTATAAAGGGAAAGAAGCGCCAAAAATAGTTGATAATAAATCTAAGAAAATTAAAATTAAAATCGAATAGAAACGGCCAGCTTAAAAATGAATAATAAATTTCAGAAAATCTCTAACAAAAACTTCTTTTAATAAATTGCAAACAATACAAATAGTTTATATATTTAATAAATGATTGATTTATATTCTATTTTATTTTAAATTGTATTATATTATTTAATAAATATTTATGTTTCTATGAACTTGTGTTTCAATTGCATTTTTATTGCTTACACAAAATTCTTGCTTTATTTAAAATAATGAAAAAATTTAGTAAAAATGAGAAATACGGTCTGACACGTCAACTATAATAATTGAATAGTGAGTAAAACTTAAACGAAATATTCCTTTTGCCTCTTACCTCAAGCGTACAAAGGCTCGTTTGTTGACATGAATGAACTGCTTGACCTCATATTCGAGTTTCAATAAATTCCGAAATTTTTAATTGCTGTAAAAATGCCTTAAGAATTGCGCTGTGTATGCAAATTTCATTCTCCACTTTTATTTGCAGTGTAATAACTATCAGACAGTCCAACAAGTTTCAACATACTTTTGCTATTTATGGCGCGCTTGGACTTGACTTTGGCAGCCAGATCAGAGCGAGTCCAGTAACAACAAGGAACTGTCTGTTCAGCTGACCGCAAGTTAACAAAGTTTTGGCATTCGGCTCTTCTGCATTTCAGCTTAAATTTTGTGCATTGGAATTTTTAACCCTGTCCCTCTCTTTCGATCTCTCTCACTCTGGCTCTCTGGCTCTCACTGTGGAAGGCCAAGACAATTTGCGGCTACTTTGTGCGACAGCGAAAAGCATAAGGCTTTAATTTGTGGCATCAAGACGAGTGGCCCAGACATTTGCTGAGCGCCAGCACATTCGTGCGGCGTGCGACACACCCGCACCTGTCCTGTGCATTGGAGCGCACAAAAACAAGCTCAACAATTGCCTTATAAATGCCCTCAAACTTGGACTCAAACGGAATGAGTTTTTGGGCGGTGGAAAAAACTTTGATTAATGTGCGCTTAAAGAGCCGGCAAATACGTGAAAGCAGGCACTACTATAGAAAAAACAAGGACAAAACTTTTCATAACTTTAGCCCACACACACAGGCAACACAAAACAGGAGCAGGAGCAGGACAGGACAGGACAGGACAGGCACAGACTGGCAGACTGGCAGACTGGCAGTAGACCGCGTGCAGCCGGCGGCTTCTTAGCCAAAGCGCAACAAAAACTTATGCAATCAAGGCAAAGGCGTAAAGGAGGCGGCTACAACAGCATAAAACAGGGCCAGGACCAAGGCTGTTGGCACTGCAGTTTCAAGGCGCCGCACAACAATGTCAGCGACGGGCAGCCGAAGGAATCACAGCGAAAAAGCGTTAAAAAATGAATTGTAAAACAAACAGCAAACAAACGAGCAACATTCGCTAAGGGCACGCCCACATACACACACAACACAACATGCAGCTACAGCCAGCCACAAAGTAGCCAGCGACCCGCAGCGATCCGGGACCAGCAACGAGGTCTGCTCCAGGCGGGCGATATCTGCAACGTCAAAGTCAGCAGACCGGTTCAAGCTCACCCGCAGCTACCAACATCTGCCCACTCTCGCTCTCCCTTGCTCACCTAGTGCCTCAGCCTCCGCCGCATCCACAGCCACATGCCCGCGCCCGCGCTGGTTAATAGAAAATGTAATTCGATGCATTTAATGTTGGCAACGCCAAACGCTGCAGGTTACCCTCGAGTAGCAGCCACGGGGCTGCGACGGCCACGATACCCAGGTTCGCCTCTTTTTTATGAGTTTGCATTTGGCTGCTATTCATCCAGCGCCATCGACGTCGTCGTTGACGTTGTTGTGTTTGAGTTGCTTACCTAATCCTTGCAAACAAGTTAAAAACGTTGTAAAACAAACAACAAACAAAACGAAATGAGTGGCAACTGGAGTTGGCGTTGGCGTTGGCGTTGGCGTTAGCGTTAGCGTTGGCATTGGGGCTGCTAACGGCTGGCCTGGCTCTCAGATCAGCTGCACAGCAAGCGCAAAGGGTAATCAGGAAATTAGGAAAAAGTGCTGCATACTTTTCGGCGACGAAAACTTGAGCTAAGGCAGCTGCCAATAGATGGAACCGTGCACAATTGGAGATGCTTTTAGTTAGACTATATATAGAGATATATCTATATGTGAACTAATAAATTGGAAATATATATGAGCTGAGCTGGTATAACAGAGACTATATATAGTAGGCATATGTCAGAGAGAAGAGCTTAAGCTGAAATGAGGTCTTCTGCGAGATCAATAAATTTTAGACATTAGCTTTAACTTGTCCGTTGAATTTTGATAAGCATTATATAAAATTCTTACATATTATTCAAAGTAAAACTAATGTTTACTAAAACCTTTATCAATCACAAAATTAGTTTTCATCGAACCAACAGCATTCAAACCTCATTCAGCGCAACTCCATACCAAATCTTTAGCCGCTCTAAATACTTTAATATATATAGAGCCTCGATCTCTAAGCTTTATATAGCTGCCCATCGAGCTAAGCACGATCTGTTAGCACGCGCTCATCTCTAATTTAGTTATTGGTTTTTTTTCTAGTCAGTTAAAAACAGTTTCGATGTTGCTGGTTGGAAATTGTCAGTCGTAAAGCCAGACGCATTGGGCAAATGGAAACGATTTTGACTGACATCGAGTGCCATGAGAAATACAAACAATCATCAGGCAGGCAGGCAGTCAGGCAGGCAGTCAACTGTGCCCCATGCACCACCCTCATTGGTAACCTCAGCAACCTGCGCCGCGTGCCACAGCAATGACAACCGGCGCGGCAGCGCTAATAGAAATTAAACGAAAGTGCTGCACGGCTGATGGCTGTTGCTGCTGCAGTAGGGGCTGGCGAGTGTGGGTGAGGGTTGGTCGCCAGCCAACTGCAAATTCGAGCCACCCTGCGACGAGCGTGTGAAGGTCGAGCTGGAACGAAGTGCAGCGGTAACTGGAGTGGGAGCAGCAGCAGCAGCAGCAGCGGCAGCAGCGAAGGGCGCACATTCGCTTTCATTTCGTTTGCTGGTGTTTTTTGGGACTATTTACATTTGCTTTTATTAATCATAAAAAAATGCTGAAATAGTCGAAATTGGCGAAGCGGCAGGACGCGCCGGCTCCTTTGGGCTGCTTGGTTATGCCGCACAGGAACGTGCACGAAAGCGCAATTTGATTTTAATGGCGGCAAAATGTTGAATGTTCGTCGCACAGCCAGAGCAGCAGGCAGGCAGACAGGCAGACAAACGGACAGGACAATCAGACAGACTAGCAAAGCAAACACGCAGACAAACTGATTGTTGTTTTTTTTTATTTCATACTCGTTCTGGCAGGGAAGAGGGCATATTGGTTTTGTGCGTCTATGGAAGCTAATGACTTATGTAACTTTTAAATGTCTAATGTCTCGAAAAGAAAGCCTTCATTTTATTCACTAGCAGCACCAAGTTTCAAAGGCGACCTGCTCTACAGTTAAAGACACATTTCGCCGTTGGTTCCTCTGCAATTCAGAATATATTTTATATATACTAAATTTACATATTCATTTCGTACCATGAACAAGTATTCAGCAGTCAGTTGTGCTCAGCTGAAACGCTTTTTTATGCTCTGCCGCTGCCTTTCCATGCAATCAGGCGCCATTTGTTGACGTTTGTCTGTGTTGGTGTTTGTTAATCTGCCTGCTGCATGCTGCGTGCGTAGGCGAGTGCGT